GGGTGTTGAGAGTGCCCCCACCCCATCGATGGACTTTTTCGGCCTCGGACCGACCGTGACCGTCGGCGCGACGTTCGCGGAACCCTCCGACGCGAGCTCGACGCGGACGGTCAGCGTCAAGAGCGATGCATCATCCGGCGGGGTCGCGACGACGCCGACGCGGCTCTACACGACCGGGGATACGATCGCGGGCGCGATCACGCTGACCACGCCGCCGGGGTCGAAGGTGGACCACCTGGGGGTGAAGGTGGAGGTACTCGGGCAGATCGAGATGGGCTTCGACCGCGGGTGAGACTGCTTCCCATACGACCCCGTTCGCGTGGTGAACGCCGATCCTTAAGAACTTTTCCCATTCGACCCTTCCCTTCCTTCGCGCGCTGTGCACCACCTCACGTTTTGACACGTGGACGAGTCGTCCACCAATATCGTTCCCGCATGACTGACACGTGGATTCCCTCGACCAATCATCATCGCATCAGGCACGCGTGGGATTTCGTCGCGCTCGCGAGAGAGGCGCGACCGGCGGGGGACCTCATCGGCGTCACTGAGATTCCGTTCGTCTTCAAGGACGTGGAGATGCCGCACGAGAGTTACGAAGGGATAAACGCGCGGTGCCGGTACGTCGTGAGGACGACGGTGACGCGGACGTACGGCGGGACGGTCACGCACGACCTCCCGTTCGTGGTCAGGTGAACGGCGCGCCGCGTTTTTTTGGTTTTTTGGTTTTGGTTTTGGTTTCCCTGAGCCGGCCCCGCGTCCCAACCAATCGCATCACTTCCCTTCGACGTCCCAACCAATCGCATCACTTCCCGCCACCTAACCCACCAATCAAATCAATCAGGAACGTCTCGGTACCCCCCGAGAACGACGCGGCGATCAAGATGGAAGTCGGCATCGAGGACTGCCTCCACATCGAGTTCGAGTACGCCAAGGCTAAGTATCACCTGCGCGATTGCGTCGTGGGGAAGATTCACTTCCTGCTCGTGCGAATTAAGATCAAACACATGGAGCTGGAGATACGGCGGCGCGAGAGCACGGGCGCGGGCGCGAACACGTACAACGAGAGCGAGACGGTGGCGAAGTTTGAAGTGATGGACGGCGCGCCCGTCAAGGGCGAGGTGAGGAGGGAGACTGAGACTAGTCCCCATACGACCCCGTTCGCGCGGTGCACGTCGTTTCTTGAGGACTTTCCGCGCCGGTTTCAACGCTCGCTCGCTCGACCCGACCCACCCTGCGCCGCGGTTCAACTGAACGGACGTCCCCTATCGAATCGATCGAACGACAGACCGCGCCGGTGCGGCTCTTCTTATCCCCGTACGACCTCACGCCGACGTATAAGAACGTCGCGAATCGGTTCAACGTGAAGTACTACCTGAACTTGGTCTTAGTCGACGAGGAAGACCGTCGGTACTTCAAGCAGCAGGAGATATTTCTGTACCGCGACGCGCTCGAGTGACGAGCGAGCGAGCGGCGAGCGACGAGCGACGACGAGCGAAACGAACGACGGGACGGTCGAGGGATGGCTGGGATGAAAAAAAAATCTGTTCTACGTACTCGCGCTAACTTTCTCCCTCGAGTTCTCTCCGTCCGTCGTCGCAACCGTCGTCGCTCACGCCGTCACGCTCTTCTTCTCTTCCGCGTCTTCTGGTAACCCCATGACGTCCTTGAACGCGGCGACTCTTCGCAACCCCTCCGACGCGACCGCGTTCTTCGCGTCAAGCAACAACGCGTTTTTAAAATCCGCCGCGGCGAGGTCGTTCTTCTCCATGTACTCGAAAGCCAGCCCCCTTCGCAACAGCGCCTTCACGTTCTTCGGAGATAAACGTAACGCTTCGTCGCAGTCGATTATCACCGCCTTGATCTCGCACAGCTGTCTGTTGCACTCCGCGCGGTTCGTCAGCAGCGTCGCGCGCGCTTCGTCGTGGTCGGCGCCGGACTCCGCGCTCTCCGCGGCGAGGAGCTTCAACCCTTTGCCGTACCACCGGATGGCGTCTTCGTACGCCCCGGCTCGGTACGCGTCGTTTCCTGATTGGACGAGACGATGGAGGAATTGATGACGTGTCAGCGTGAAAGCGAATGAAAACACGCCAAACCGCCACGTCGGACGACAGACATCGGATACGATACGATACGATACGACGTAGTACGCGCCTCGCGACTTGGCGTCTCGCCAGTCCGCGGGCGCCTCTCGCTTCAACCGCTCCGCGGTCTCCAGCCCAACCTTCACCCGCGCGTTGCTCGGGTCCGCGTCTCGCCCGCGCGAATACGCCGCGATCGCGTCGTCGTACCGCTCGAGCTCCACGAGCGCGGCGCCGGCGCGGTAGTGCCCTTTCGTCCACTTGATATCCAGAGCCGTCGCGGCGTTCGCGTCCGCGAGCGATCTCTCGTAGTCGCCGGACGCGAAGTGCGCGGCGGAGCGATTGGTGAACAGCGCGGGGCTCGCGGGCTCGAGCGCGATCGCGGCGTCGTAGCACTTTATCGCGGCGGCGAACTCCTCGCGGGTGTAGAAGGCGTTCCCGCGCTCTTTGTGGTCCTTCGCGCTCGCCATCGTCGGTGGAGTCGAAGAAGGGTGGGCCGGAGCGATGATGGATCAATGGTAGGGAGGCGGGCAGGCGAGCGGCGACACGCGGCGACAGCGACAGCTGGGTGGCGCGCGTTCGATTTCGCGCTGCCGCGCCGCGCTGCGACGACGGCGACGTCGACGGCGACGGCGGCGCGGCGCGGCGCGGGGGGACGGGTGGATGCGCGCGGGGGGAGCGTCGCCGCGCGCGCGCGTTTGCGACGCGACGCGGACGCGACGTCGCGACGTCGTCTGCGGCGCCCGCTCGCCTCCTCCGTGATTTTCTCGTTGTCAGTTTTCAGTTGAAACTCCGCTTCACAAATTATAGACTAAGTTGTTACCTTGGACCGCTACCGCCGCTGTCGTTTGGGAGCTACCGACCCCTTGCTCTGCGACGGCTCTGCGACGGCCATATCCTCTTTCGGTATATTAAGCTTAAGGACGCGCGCCCACACGAGAACATCCTCGAGGTCCCCCCACGCTTTGCGATACGTCGGGTCCTTTTCGCAGTGTTCTGCGTGAACGGATTCTCTGTGCGCGTTTCGCTTTTCTGTGTCTTCACCCTCGTGGTAGCACATCTCCCCGATGAGGAGGTCGATCCCGGGCTCGAGCAGAGCTGGACACAGAATCTTGAACCGCATGTAGTCCATGTTCGTCAGCTTCGACGTCGAGCGCATGCAAAGATACACGCCGTTTTGATCGGGCGCGCGCGTTTTCGACAGGATAACCATGGAATTGTAGAGCAAATTCCCTTCTGCTTCGACCATACTCGCAGGAAGGAACTCGTGTATGTCCGGCGGCAGACTTTCGTGGAGGAACTGAAGCGACGCGCACAGATCTAACCCATCGGATAAGTCGTGCTCGAACGGCAGCGCGCGCGGAATCGGGAAGAAAAAATCTTTATCCGCTGACGCCTCCAATAAAGAGAAAAAGCGCATTGCTTTTCTCAGGAGCGCGTCGCTCACCGCGTTTTTCATCAACGTCGCGTTGGTCGCCTTCTCGCGCGCAGTATACCCGCACATCGCCGTGTGCAGGTTCTCCATTAACCACCTGAGTTCGGTCACGGACCCGACCCGAACGTCGACGGAGAGGCACACGCCGTCGTCGTCCTCCGTCGGGACGACTCTGTGCCAACACCCCGGAGGGACGTAGATGACCGCGCCCGGCGACACCCGCGTCACGCTCGCGCTCGCGACGTCCGGCGGCGCGTCGCGCAGCTCGAAGACGTTCCGCGGGGCGTCGCTCGCGCCGCGGGCGGACTCCACGTTCACGTTGCCGCTCGGCACCGTGTGCCATTCCTTGGAGCCGTAGAGCTGAATCGTGACGTTGTGATTCGCGTCGTAGTGCCATCCCGCCTCCGCGCCGCGCGCGCTCGAGAGATACACCCCGACCTCGACGTCGTTCGCGCACTCCAGGGCCGCGACGTTGTCCGAGGAGCGCGCGCCTCGGCGCGCGTCCGCGCGGAACGCCATGCGCGCGAGCGAGCGTCGCAGCTCTCGCGCGCCGTCCGCGAAGCAAAACGGGAGATCCAGCGTCGCGCCGCGCGACCGGACGTCGCCGACCATCTCCTCTATCTCGTCCTCCGTGAACTTCGCGTTCGACGGCTTGCGGCACGTGGCGATGATGGCGTGCGCGTCGCCGTGGCAGAACCCAGCGCGAAGGCGTCGCAGCACGTCGTCGTCGGGGCGGCGCGCGCGCGCGTCGTCGTCGTCGTTCGGGCGAATCACGCTCCACGAGTGAACGTCGTCGCGGCACCATCGATCCGCGAAGAACGCCGCGACGCCGTCGTCGTCCGCCGCCGCGGGCAGGACCTCCGCGAACGTCACGCGCTCGTACTCTTCTTCGTCATCGTCGCCGTCGCCGTCTTCGTCGCTCATGACGTCGCGCGCCCGCGCGAGTGACGATCGACGTGACGATCGATTGATTCTTCGAGAATTCGGGCCCGAGAGTAACAACGTGGGCCGATTTGCTTTCAAAAATTGAGCCGCTTGATCGGTGAGATCGATGAAAAAAAAACGTTTTGCCTTTCAAAAATCCACGCTCTAGCTAGGCTAGTCATCTCAGCTCTCGCTCTCGGCCGTTGGTCAACTAACACCCACATCGCGCCGCGCCCATGGCGTCGCCGGCGCCGCTCGACGACGCCGCGCCTCAACCCCCCGACGCGGAGGCGCGCGCGGCGCGCCTGCGCGACGCCAAGGTGCGCGCGGCGGCCAGGCGCGAGGACGCGGAGCGACGCGCGCGCGAGGACGACGACGCGCGCCGCGCGGATCTCGCGCGAATCGCCGCGCGGCCCGACCCGTGGGACGACGCGGACGCCCCGCCGCCGCCGCCGCCCGCCGCGGAGAGGGACGCGCCGGGAACGCCGGAGAAGCTCGAGGGCGAGGAGGACGTCGCGTCGCGCGTGACGAGCGCGAACTGGCGGCGGAGCCGGTACCACCGCGCGAACCTGCGATGGTGGCGCGCGGAGGAGGCGGAGGACGCGAAGGATGACGACGACGACGACGACGACGCGACGACGACGACGCGTCGAGGCGCGTGGCGACCCGCGACCCGCGTCTACCACGTCCCCGCGATCGCGCGCGACGCGTCGCCGATCGCGAGCCCGGAGAAGACGCGCGCGCCGGTCGCGGACGCGAGGCCGCGGGCGAGCGTGCGTCGGTCCACGGCCGCGGACATCGCCGCGGCTGCGGCGAAGGCGAAGGCGGCGACAAAAAAAAAACCGTCGCCGCCGCCGCCGCCGCCGCCGCCGCCGCCGCGGACGCCGGCGGCGCGGCCGGACGCGCGCGCGGCCGCCGCCGCGGTCGTCGCCGCGTGCGGCCGCGCGGGGAAGGGCGGCGTGCCGAAGACGCTCGGGATGGCCGTCTGCGGCGCGTGCGGCGTCCGAGCGTACAGCGGAAGCGCGCGCGACCGAGAACGCGCGCGCGCGGTTGACGAAAAAGGCGCGTGACTGGTCCCCATACGACCCCGGCCGCGTGTTGAACGCCGTTCCTCGAGGACTTTATTATTACTGTATCTCCCGGCGTGCGTTTCTCTCAACCCATCCCCAACTGACGCCTTTGAACTCCACCTCGATGTTATTATCGCTTCGCGCGTACCGTCGACCCACAAAAAAAGTCGGCAAAAAGAAAGCCTCCTCCAAAAAATCAACCGCCGCGCGCTCGTCGACGCGACTCGCGCCGTGCGCGCGGTGCGGCGCCGCGTGGTACTGCTCCGACGCGTGCGCGGCGGAGGACTGGAAGACGCACAAGCGCGAGTGCAAGGGCACGGTCGTCGGGTTCGGATGCGCGTTCGAGGGGTTCGGGGAAGGGCGGGTGAGAGGGGAGAGGCCCGGGACGGCGGCGAGCGCGGCGTTTTTGACCACGGCGTTGCATCACCCGGAGCGGGTGTAGTACTGTAGGTAGTTAGCGTCATGATAGTCTAACTGTTTGCTCATACGCAAATACATAAAAAACTAGTACGGCGGATAAAAAACGTGTTCATCAACGCCGAAAGCTGCGCGTCGACGGTTCAAATCGATCGCGCGCGATGCCGACGACGACGCGCGAGCGCGCGGCGACCGCGGCGGCGGCGTCCTCGTCCTCGTCCTCCTCCTCCTCCTCCGCGCGGGCGTGCTTGGAGCACCTCGTGCGCGCGCTGAACCAGCTCGGCGTCGGCCTCGGCGCGGCGCCGTCCGCCGGCGGAGGCGGGCGATCCGAGGACGCGCGGGGCCGCCCATCGCGGACGTCGTCCTCCAAGTCCGACCGAACCCGCGGCGCGCTCACCTCGGAGCTCCTCCGCCGCGCCAAGTTCGGGCACGCTTCCGCGACCTCCGCGCTGTGGCGCGCGCTGCACGACCTCGCGCTCGTCGCCGTCGCGGGGTTCCCGGATCCCGAGGTGGCCGCGCGCGCGATCGCGCGAGCGCGATGCGATGGCAAGGATGGGGGCGAGGCGTCGTCGTCAGATCTCAGGGGCGACGGCGACGGCGAGGACGCGCGCGACGCGCGAAGGGAAGCGAAGGAGGACCTCGAGTGCGCGACGCTCGCGCGCGTATACCTGAGAGCGCACGCGTACCCGCACGTCGACGAGCTGGACGACGTCGAGCCGGTCGCGGAGATGACCGACGCGGCGCTCGCGAAGAAGAAGAAGAAGAAGAAGAAGACGCGGACGCTGGCGAATCGCGACGCGGAGTCCGACAAGGGCTCGCGCGCGCTTCTCTTCGCGCTCGCGTGGCTCACGCGAACGCTCGACGTCTTCGCGCGCGCGCACGCGGACGCCGCCGCACAAACGCTGCGCCTCTCCCCGCCGTCGCCGCGAACGCCGCTGCCGCCGTACCCGTCCTCGGACGCGGCGCGCGCGGAGGCGGCGGCGATCGCAGCGGAGGAGGAGGAGGTGAGGGAGACTGCTTCCCAGACTGCTTCCCATACGACCGCGTTCGCGTGGTGAACGCCGTTTCTTAAGGACTTTTTTTTAACCCGCCGGTTTCAACGCTCGCTCGCTCGCTCGACCCGACCCACGCTGCGCCGCGGTTCTTCAACTGACCGGACGTCCGCTATCGAATCGATCGAACGACAGGCCGCGTTCGTTCGCGCCGCCGACGCCGCCGTCGACGCCATCCCCGGCGGGAGCGGTCAATCCCAACCCGTGGCCGCCGCCGTCCGCGAGCGCGTCGTGACGAAGCAGGCGTGCGCGCTGATGCAGCGGTTGCACGCGCGAGTGTCGCACCTCCACGAGCTCGAGCGCGCGCGCGCGTCGCGCCGGCATTCGATCCACGTGAGACGACCCGACAAGACTGCCCTCCACGCGACCCCGTTCATTCGCGCGCTATGAACCAACCTCACGTTCGTTTTGACACGTGGGATATCCTATATCCACCAATCACATCCCCGCGTGAATGACACGTGTCTTCCCTCGACCAATCCGGTCGCGCCACGCAGGCGATGCAAAGAGCGCACTTCACCGCGAGGGACGAGCGCGGGCTCCGACCGGCGCCTCTCAGCGCGTACGAAGTGTCGCTCGCGAAAGATCACGAACGGAGACGCGCGCACGCGGAGGCGATGTTCGCCACCGCGGGCGTGCGCGCGGCGGCGGCGGAGACGGAGGCGCTCGCGGCGACGTTCTGGCGGTGGATGGAGAGCGTGGCGGAGCAAGAGGAGGTTGAGGAGGCGGAGGAGGCGGCGGCGAGGGCGGCGGCGGGGGAGGAGACGGAGACGGACGACGACGGAGACGACGACGACGACGACGACGACGAGGACGCGTCGGAGGAGGAGGAGGAGAGCTCGGACGATAAAGACGCAACGGACGACGTAACGGCCGCGCGCGCGACGTTACCGGGCATCGGGAGCGTCGTCAACGACCTCGTGGCCGTCGCCCAGAAGGTTGGGCTGACGCTCCATAAAAAACGCGCCGACGTCGCCTCCGTCGCGAGGCGGTGGGAGGACGCCAAGGCACGTTCTCCTTACACTGGTCCCCATACGACCCCGTTGGCGTGGTGAACGCCGATCCTTAAGGACTTTTCCCGGCGCATCTCTCCGCCCACCCCCCGCTTTCAATCCCAGCCCTCGACGCCTTTCAACTCCAACTGACGCCTATGAACTCCACCCCAAGGCGGCCGTCATGATGGCGGGCGACGACGAGGCGAGCGAAAAACAACAGAGCGCGTTGGCCGCGAGGGCCGCGAGGGCGGCGGCGTCGTTGCCGTCGTTCGATCGGTTCGAGCGCGATGCGGCGAACGAGGCGGCGAAAGAGGCGGCGGCGGCTAAGAGCTTAAGAGGCGGCGGCGAAAGCAGCGGCGATCGCCGCGCGTGGGTGCCCGCCGTGAGTCCTCAAGGAACGGCGTTCACCTCGCGCGCGCGGTCGTACGGGGACCAGTCTGAAGAAGAAGCCCGAGCGCGCGATCCTCTCGGCGCGTTCCCGTCGACGGTGACGACGACGCTGACGTCCAAGGGCGGAGTGTTCTGGTTTCACGACGACGACGACGACGGCGGCGACGGCGGCGACCGCGAGCCCCGCCCCGAAGCGGCGACCCCGCCGCCGCGGAGGAGGCGACTGAAAAAGCCGACGCCCGCGGCGGATGCGCTCGCGTCGCTCGCGCCGATCCTCCGCGACAGCGAGATTCGCCTCGCCGCGGTGCGCGCGCGCGCGAAGGAGTACCTCGGCCTGGAAGTGCGCGAGGCGTTCGGGGAAGGCGATCACGCGCTGCACGGTTGGTGATGAGAGCGGTGAGAGCTTCGAGCTTCGGACGCGTACTGTTCGTTATTTAGACTCTATAGCTGTCTACGCGACGCGAGACGACTGAGGTACTTGTACTTCCGTGACACCCAACCAGCCGCCAGCCGCGCTCGACTCGAGCGTCGCGATTAAGTAGCAAGCCCTAATTAACGGTCGTGCGGGACCCCGGAGTACTGCGGGAACGGCCCGTCCGTCTTGTTCGTCGCCTTGATCGCCGCGAGCGGACCCGTCGTCGTCGCCACGCGCACCGCGGTTTGTTTGGCGCCGAACTCTTCGTCGCGCAAGTACTTCACCGCGTCTTCGATCGTTTGAAATCCAATCAGCACCGCGAAGTCGTACGCGTCGCAGTTTTCCTGCGCCACCATCTTCTCGGAGCCTTCGCCGCGGAACGGCACGCGCGCGATCATCGTCGCGTTGAACTTGGCGTTGTTCGCCTTCATGAGCGGCGGATACTCCGCCTGGAATCGCTCCTTGTCGGTGAACTGCCACGTGTGGGGTCGTCGTTCGATAGGCCGAGGGAAGACACGTGTCAGGTATGCGGACGTGTGATTGGTGGATGGCGTTCTCACGCACGTGTCAAAACAAACAAACGTGAGGTTGGATATCATACAGCGCGCGAAACGAAAGAACTCCTTAAGGAACGGCGTCCACCTCGCGAACGGGAGCGTATGGGTACCAGTGTAATAAATAACGCGAACGCGCCTTCTTCAGCGTGCTCACGTAGGCGCCGAACTTGGAGGTGTCCGCGCCCTCGGGGAGCAAGTTCGCTTCTATCATCGCGATGGAGGCGCGGCTGTTGTCCACGCGAAGCGCTTTCACCGCGGCGTACTCCGGGGAGTTCCACCATCCGAGAAACGCGTCTCTGTTCGGGAACTCGATGACCGGCGCGAGGCTGAGGGTAGTTGTCCATACGAGCGAACGTCGGGGTGGAGTTGAAAGGCGTCAGGGGTGGAGTTGAAAGGCGTCGAGGGCGGGGATTGAAACCGTGGTGTGGGCGGAGAGAGACGCCGGGAAAAGTCCTTAAGGATCGGCGTTCACCACGCCGACGCGGTCGTATGGGGACCAGTGTAACCAGAACGCGCCTGACATCGGACGCGTCTTCGACGGCGTCGGCGTCCGCGGCGAAGTCGCCCTTCGCGCCGACGTATCCCGCGCCCGCCTTGGTTAACTGCTCGACCACGGGGCCGGGGTACTTCATGAACTCTTCCGGGTTCGTGACCGTCACGAAGCCGGTCTGCGGCCGGGGAGGAGAGGGGAGAGCGTCGGTTCGTTTCGTTGACGCGCGGAGAGGGGGTTCGTTCGATCGCGCTCTGACGAAATAAAATGACAATCGAGCGTTCGACGCGTTCAAGTTCGTTCGCGCGGCGGCGACGACGACTACGACGACGACTACGACGACGAGCTCGGGCGGGACGCACGAGGAAGACGCGGGGAGCGCCCATCTCGTTCGTTCGCGTCGTCGCGGAGAAGGGAGGGGTGTTGTGAGTTCCGAGGCGTTCCGAAATTCCGAAAAGGACACGACCGCGCATAAATAAAAATTGACCTTATGCGCCACCTGGCGAGTTTCCGCTGCCTGGGCCTGGCAGTGATTATTCAAATTTGGGTCGTCAGCCTTCGTCCGCCTCGCGGCGTCGCATTGCCCGCGGCGCGCAACGGACGATGTTCGATCCGGGGATGGACGTCGAGAGGCTCGCGTCGCTGCGCCTCCGCGAGGGCGGCGTCGTCGCGGACGCGAGCGCGACCGCGACGCCGCCGAACGCGGTCCGCGCTTTCGGCGTCGACGACGGGGTCTCGCCGCTGACGTCCGGGGACGTCGGCGGCGGCGGAGGAGGAAAAAACAAACGAGGAGAACGAGGAGGCGCGTCGCTCCATCGGAACGCGACGACGACGACGACGACGACGACGACGCCCGCGTCGTCGTTCTGGCACAAGAGAGGGCTGCACGTCTCCCCGGTCTCGGTGCTGATGATCCCCGCGCTGAACTTGAACGCCGCGGGGGGCGACGAGCGCGACGGCGGCGTCGGAGACGGCGCGCGCCCCCCGTTCGGGGGCGGCAGCGCGTCGTTCCGCGAGCAGCGGAACACTAAGAAGTCGCGCGGGGGCGCGAGATCCAGTCTCGCGCGGGGCGACGACGTCGACGACGACGACGACGCGAACGAACCGCACGCGATGGACGTCGACCGCGCGTCCGGCGCGTCGACGCCGATGACGCCCATGGAGCCGAACGCGTTCGCCGCCGCGCTGCCGTCGTTCGGGACGGGCGGCGGGACCGGGTTCGGGATGATGACGTCGAGAAACGCATCGTACACGCCCCCGCCCGCGCCGAGGCCGTCGCGCGTCATCGCCGCGAACTGCGACGACGCGGGCCCGTCCACGTCAAGCGCGGGCGCGTCGTCGTTCGAGCGCCACGCCTCCTTCCTGTGCGGCGGCGAGGACTCGAACCACGCGCCCGCGGACGTCTCCCCCGCGTTCGGCGTCGGCGGCGGGAGAACGCCGCCGACGCCGACGCGACCCAAGGCGCGCGCGAAGCTGACGCGTTGGGACTCTCTCGACGAGACGAAGCTGCTGGTGAGCACGAACCTCGCGCGCACGAGCAGCGTGCGATTGGGGAGCGAAGTTGGAGGCGGGACGGGGGGAGGTGGTGATGGAGGAGGAAAAAACGGCGGCATCGGAGGCGTTACCCGCCTCGACGTCCGCGGCGGAGATGGCGGCGGGGATGATTTTTCGATTTTTTTGACGACGACGACGACGGGAAGCGGCGAGCTCTCGTCGTCGCCGCACGAATTTCTCTTCGCGGATCACTTCCACTTCGAGAAACGCATCGGTCGGTCGAAAACCAGCGAGGCGTGGCTCGTGCGCTCGAAGCAGAGCGACCAGAGGTACTGCGTGAAGAAGATCACCGCGCCGTTCAACGGCGCGAGCGAGCGGACGAGATACGCGCACGAGGTTGAGGCGCGTTCTATACACTGGTCCCCATACGACCGCGTCGGCGTGGTGAACGCCGTTTCTTAAGGACTTTTGCCGTCGTCTCTCTTCGCCCACCCCTCGGTTTTGACGCCTTTCAACTCCATCCATCTGACGCCTTTCAACTCCACCCCGACGTCGCTTTGAACGATGGACCCTCGACCCTCAGGCGGTTACGTTTCTCCCCGCGCACGAAAACGTCGTCAAATACTTCCGCGCGTGGCAGGAGGATAAGCACTTCTTCTGTCAGACGGAGCTCTGCGTCGGCGGCTCTTTCGGCGCGTGCCTCGAGCGGCTCCCGCCCGGGTGCCTCGTGGACGAGCGCGACGTGTGGTGCCTCGCGAAGGAGATCGCGAGCGGCTTGAAGCACGTTCACGAGTACGGCATCTTACACTTAGGCGCGTTCTATACACTGGTCCCCATACGACCGCGTTGGCGATGTGGACGCCGATCCTTGAGGACTTTTGCCGGCGCATCTCCCCGCCCACCCCTCCCTTTCAATCCCCGACCGCGATACCTTTCAACTCCAACTGACGCCTATGAACTCCACCCCGACAATCGCTCGTATGGAACGATCCTTAGACGTCAAGCCCGACAACGTCTTTCTCGACGAGCGCGGGACGTACAAGCTCGGCGATTTCGGCGTCGCGTACGTCCGCGGCAGCGGGTGGGAGCTCCAGGACGGCGACGGCGGGTACGTCGCCCCGGAGGTGCTCTCGATGTCGCACACGTCGCCGCCGACGCCGGCGGCGGACGTCTTCTCGCTGGGCGCGACGTTGTACGAAGGTGCGTTCTATCTCACACTGGTCCCCATACGACCGCGTCGGCGTGGTGAACGCCGTTCCTTAAGGACTTTTGCCGTCGTCTCTCTCCGCCCATCACCCCCCGCTTTCAATCCCCGACCCTATGACGCCTTTCAACGCCAACTGACGCCTTTCAACCCCACCCCGACGTTGTACGAAGCCGCCGCGGGGGAAAAGCCGAGCGCGGAGGTCAGGAGAGGCCTCGGCGCGCCAGCTGGCGCGGCGGGAGAGACGTCGGCGGCGCGAACGGGGTCATCATATGGGGACCAGTCTTCTCACGCGCTGCCGTCGACGCTGACGCTACCGAGCGGTCGAAGCGACGCGCTCGTCGGTCTCATCGCCGCGTGCTTGCGGAGAGACCCGGCATCGAGGCCGTCCGCGGGGGAGATTGAGGTGCGTTCGAGTCACACTGGTTCCCATACGACCGCGTTGGCGATGTGAACGCCGATCCTTAAGGACTTTTGCCGGCGCATCTCTCCGCCCACCACTCGGTTTCAAGCCCCGCCCTCGACGCCTTTCAACTCCACCTGACGCCTTTGAACTCCACCCCGCCATCGCTTTGTATGGAACGACCCTGAGACGCACGCGAGGGAGACGTTGGCGGCTTTCGACGCGGCGGTTCAGGCGGGCGAGGTGAACGCCGGCGTCCCGAGGCGCGCGACCGCGTGACGACGACGACGACGACGACGACGACGACGCAAATACAGTAGATGAACGAACGATATGATATATATACGATTCGCGTACAGTCATCAGTATGTACTTCCCCCCCCCCCCCCGTCGAATTCGATCCCGTCCCGTTCGGTCCTCATCGATCGATCACTTGCCTCGTCCCATCGCGCAGTCGTTCACCTTGGACGCGAACCTCAGCGAACACAGCGTCTCTTGGCTGCTGTCCACCCCCGGCGCGACGTTCACGAGCATCAGCGTCTTCCCGTCGCCCCCCAACGCGTTCTGAAGCAGATACGTCAGCTTACTGTTCCGGAACGGCACGTGCGCGTCCTTGTTCGCGAGCGACGTAATGACGTCGCCGAGCGCCGACAGCGACTTGTTGATCGCCTGAGGGTCGAGCGTGGTCCACACGAGCGAACGTCGGGGTGGAGGAGTTGAAAGGCGTCAGATGGATGGAGTTGAAAGGCGTCGAGGTGTGTGCGTCGGGATTGAAAGGAAGGGGCGGACGGAGAGATGCGCCGCTGGGAAGAAAAGTCCTTAATAAGAAACGGCGCGCGCCGCGCCGACGGGGTCGTCATATATGGGACCAGTGTGAATCACGTGAACGCGCCTGCGCCTCCTTCAGCTGCTGACCGACCGCGCCGCTGCGCGACAGCCGCTCGCTCCCGGCGAGGTCGACGAGATTGAGCGCGCCGTGCACGACGCGACCGGTGGCGTCGACGCCGTCCAGCGCGAGCGTGAAGACCATGTGCGACCGCGAGGAGTGATCGTTCATCGCCGTCTGAGGGAGGGGAGGGTGGGCGGTTCGTCGGTCAGCGAGCAGTTAGTTGAAAGGGACCGAAGACGCGATCGAACGTTAATAAACGAACGTTGAAAGCGAGGGGTGGGCGGAGAGATACGCCGGCAAAAGTCCTTAAGGATCGGCGTTCACCACGCGATCGCGGTCGTATGGGAACCAGTGCAAGGAGAACGCGCCTTGGCCGTCCTGCGCGCGGCTTGCGCCCTCTTCATCACCTTGGCAACCTCCGCGGGGGACGACACCGCGACGGTCCGCAACCCCGTGACCGTGGTCTTCCCGCTCGCGTCGTGCTTGACGTCGTGCTTCGTCGTGCTTCCGGATGATGACGAAGACTTGGGCCCGAGCAAGTCGATGATGTCCTCGTTGTAAATTTCAATCATCGACGCGGTGACCTCGAGCGACGGCGGCGTCGCGCCGCGGTCCTCCGCCGCCGCCGCCGCCGCGGCGTCCCTCGCCGCGAAGATCTGCTCGATCGACCGCGGGATGAGCCCGCGCGACGGGTTCGTTTCGCCCTCGTCGCCGTCCAGAGGCTCGCCGTCCAGCCGCGAATGATCGTCGCGTTCGCGTTCGTCGTCTTCGCCGTCCCCGAGCATCGTGTACGTCTTGCCGCTCCCCGTCTGCCCGTACGTGAACACGCACACCTTGTACCCGTCCAGCGCGCTCTGCACGAGGTGCGAGATCTCCTCGAACACGTCCCTCTGCGACGCGTCCGCGCCAAAGACGCGGTCGAAATCGAATTCAAACGCCTTGGTCCCCCCCGGCGGCGCGACGCACACCCGTCTCCCCGCCATCTCGCCGCGCGTCGCGAGCGAGAGCAGCGGCTTGTCGCCGTCCCTGCCGCCGCCGCCGTCGACGCGCTCCTCGCGCCCGTCCTTGGACGGCGGCCGCACGCGGCAAAACACGCGGATGTTCCCTTTGAGCTCCTGGACTTGATTGTGCAACGCGCGGCGGACGACGGCGGCTTGCCTCAGCTCCGCCTCTCGCTGCGACAGCAGCGCCTCGAGAAGCGAGACGCGTCCCTCCACGCTCTCCGCGACTGCCTCGCGCTCCCTCAGTCGCTGCTGCGCCGTCGAGCTGTTCGCCGACGCGTCGGCAACCTGCCGCCGCGCCGCCGCGAGCGCTTCCGACTGCTCGTCGTGCGCTCGCCGCAGCGCGTCGAGGCGCGACGACAGCGCGGCGGCGTCCGCGGCGGCGGCGCGCGCCTCGGACGCCTCTCGCGCCGCCGCGTCGGCGCGCGCGCCGTGGCCGACGCACTCCGCGCGCGACGCCTCGAGGTTGACGGGGTGGAGTCGGGGTGGAGTTGAAAGGCGTCAGTCGGAGTTGAAAGGCGACGCGGTCGGGGATTGAAACCGAGGGATGGGCGGAGAGATGCGCCGGGAAAAGTCCTTAAGGATCGGCGTGCACATCGCGAACGGGGTCGTACGGGGAGCAGTCTCACCTCGAGCGCCGCCTCCGCGGCGGACAGCTTCGACGCGACCACCTCGCGCTCGCGCTCCAGGTCGCTCACGAGCTGCTTCAGCGTCGTCGCCTCAGCCACCGCGGCTTGGCGCTCGGCGTCGGTGGCGACGACGCGGTCCTTGGACTCGTCGAACCCTTTCCGCAGGCGGTCAATCTCGCTCCTGTCGCGGGTGAACGAACGCGTCGGTCAATTGTGCGTCTCATCACCGGTCAAACAAAACGAACGTTGAAAGGGAAGCGCGGGCGAAGAGTGACGACGGGGAAAGTCCTTAAGAAACGGCGTTCACATCGCGAACGCGGTCGTATGGGAACCAGTCTCACCGCGCGATCTTGGCGTCCGCTCGCGACTCCGCGAGCTCCGCGCCGAGGGACTCGACCCTCGGCTCGAGCGCCCTCCGAAGCGTCGTCGCGGCGTTGAGCTCGTTCTCGAGCCGGAGCCGCTCCTTCTCCGCGTTCGCCGCCGTAATCGCCGCGTCGCGCTCCGTCTTCGCGCGCGCCTCCTCCGCGGCTTGGAGCGCGGGCTTCAGCCGCGCCACCTCCGAGGACGCCTCCACGTGCTTCGCGCTCGCCGTCTCCGCGTCCGCGATCGCCCGCGCCAAGTCCCCGGCGGCGTGCTCCGCGGCGTCCTCTAACCGCGCGCACCTCGTCTTGGCCTCCGCGACGGCGACGGAGGCATCCGCGGCGGACGCGCGCGCCGACGCGGCTTCCTCCCTCGACTCCGCCAGAGAGTGCTCCGCGGCGTCTCTCTCCGCCTTGGTCTTCGCCACGCACGCGTGCAGGCGGTTCGTCTCCTCCGCCTCTCGCGCCGCCTCTCGCTCTCGCGCGGCTGCCTTCTCGTTCGCCGCGTCGAGCTGCGCCTCGAGCGCGGCGTTGGCGCCCTTCAGCGTCCCGAGCTCCTCGCGCGACGCCGCCTGCGTTATGATTGGTCGAGAGAAGACACGCGTCAGTCACGCGCGCACGTGATTGGTGGATATCTTTACCACGTGTCAAAACAAACGTGAGGTTCACAGCGCGCGAAAGGAAAGAACGCCTTAAGGAATGGCGCGCGACGCGCGAACGGGGTCGTATGGGAAGCAGTCTGTCTCGCCTGTTGCGTCAACAAGCTCGAAATCTTCTCCCCGGCTTCGGCGGCGGCGGCGATGGAATCGCTCGCTTGCTTCTGCAGCAGCGCGTGCGCGGTCTGCTCTCGCGCGAGGTTTTCGCGGAGCGGCGCGAGCTCCGCGGCGAGCGCGTTCGTCTTCTCCGTCAGCGACGCCTCGTTCGCGCGCGACGTCGCGAGCGCCTTGGCGGTCTCTTCGCCGCGCTGAGGGCCGTTCCATACAAAGCGATGATATCGGGGTGGAGTTGAAAGGCGTCAGAAGCGGAGTTGAAAGGCATCGAGGTGTGTCGGGATTGAAAGCGAGGGACCCTGGGCGGAAAGTTGCGGCGGGATTCAAAGTCCTTAAGAAACGGCGTTCACCACGCCAACGCGGTCGTACGGGGACTAGTGTGAATCATACGAACGCGCCTTCGCCAACGCGGCTTCGCGCTTTGTCGCCGCCGCGAGCGACGCCGCGGACGTCTGCGCCTCCGCGCGCGCGGCGTCCAGCGCCGCCGCGATCGACGCCGCCTCTCGCTTCGCCTCCTTCGCCGCCGCCTCGGCGTCGTCGACGTCCGCGAGAAGCTCGTCGCGCGCGTCGGCGACGGCGTTCTTGGAAGCCGCGACGGCGTCGCGCATCGATTTCATCAACGCCTTGGCGCGAGCGGTAAAGTCCTTGGCGACGACGAGCTGCGCTTTGAAGTCAAACTTCGTGTCCTTCGTCGCGAGCTTAAGGGCCAAGAGCGCGTCGTACTCGGCGTCGAACTCGGCCGCCAGGGGCGCGGCGGGGGCCGCCGCCGCCGCCGCGCGCGCGCCTCGTTTCTTCGCGCCGGGGGACGCGTGAGGCGCGGACGCGGGCTTGCGCTTCGTCCCGGTCGCGGTCGTCGTCGCGCCCGCGGCGTCGTTCGCGGCGCTCGACGGCGCGTTCTCTTTGTCTTTGTTCGTCGAGCGGCCGCCGCGGGACTGCGGGTGATTAATTTCGAGGGAGGGAGAGAGGGAATTTAGGGGCACGGACGGGCTCAGACGATGGATGCGACGGATGGACGCGACGACGACGAAAAATGAAGACGAGATCCGACGTCGCCGGCGACGAGCGCTTTCGACGCCCTAGTCGCGATGCGACGCGTCGCGTTGCGACGCGCACGCGAGACGCACCGCGGCGGCGGCGAGCGCGGACTTGACGCCCGCGGCGGTCGCGCGCGGCTGCGCTTTAGACGACACGCTCGCGGGCTCGGGCGGAACGACGTTATCATTATTCTCGGTCGCGGCGGACAGCGACGGCGCCTGCGTCGTCGGCGTCCTCGGCGCGGGGCGCGGTATCCGCGTCTTGAACCCCGCGGCCTCGGAGTTCCCCTCTCGCAGGGAGCTCATCGCGGCGTGCGTGCGAGCGAGCGAGCGGACGACGAGCGCGGTGGTGCGGTCGCGAGGCGCGACGACGGATGGATGTGGACGCGTCTCGGAGGAGGGGAAAGTAGTACCTTTTAGTTTTACGACAAGCGGTCTTCCGCCAGCTGACGATTTAGCGTTCGCGACTCGTCGAAAGTGCGACCGACCGCGATGACGACCGACCGCCCTCATCAGCCATCCAAAGACTGAATTTAATAATAATGGATCGACATCGACGACGCGCGCCCACTCGCGTCGTCGGCGTCCGTCGTCGTCCGTCATGAGCTCCCCCGATCCGGATCCCGCCACCGCCGCGCCGTCGCGCGCCGTCGCCGACTGCAAAGTGTTCGTCGGAGGCCTGCACCCGCTCACGACCGCGGAGACGCTCTGCGGATACTTCGGTCGACGATTCGGGGAAGTGATCGACGCGGTGGTCATGATCGATCGCGCGACGGGGCGATCGCGCGGGTTCGGGTTCGTGACGTTCAGAGAGGCGGCGGACGCGGCGAGCGCGATCGAAGCGTCCGCGACGGCGAAGAAGCAGGCGGCTGAAGCGGCGGAGAAGAAGAAGAAGACCAAGAGCGGCGGCGACGACGAGGGCGGCGGCGGCGGCGGCGAGGACGATGACGACGATTCCAACGTCGATGTTTTAACAGCAGCGCCAACTCGGGTGGAACCGCTCGAGGTGGACGGCAAGGTCGTCGACGCGAAGCTCGCGTCGTCGTCGTCGAGGGGCGGCGAGAACGCCAACGCCAACGCGTCCTCCGCCGACGCCGCGCGCGCGGACGCCGCCGCGAAGCGTCTGTTCGTCGGCGGTCTGACGCGAGAGACGACGGAGGATTCGATGCGAGAGGTGCGTTCACATTCACACTGGTCCCCATACGACCGCGTCGGCGTGGTGAACGCCGATCCTTAAGGACTTTTCCCGGCGCATCTCTCCGCCCAGGGTCCCTCGCTTTCAATCCCCGACCCTATGACGCCTTTCAACTCCATCTGACGCCTTTGAACTCCACCCTGGAACGACCCTCAGTACTTCTCGCAGTTCGGCGACGTCGTCAAGGCGGAGGTCATGCGGCACACGCAGGGCGACCACAAGGGCGAATCGAGGTGTTTCGGGTTCGTCACCTTCGACGCGGAGGAGGCCACGGACGCCGTCTTCACCGCGGGCGAGGACGGCGACGGCTCCCAGGGCGGCGGGTACCACCAGCTCGACGGCAAGCGCATCCAGTGCAAGCGCATCGACGTGGACGCGCCGCGAGATTCGCACGCGCGCGGCGGCGGCGGCGGCGGAGGAGGAGGAAGAAGAGACAGAGACGGCGGGGGCGGGTACCGTAATAACCAAAGGGGGGGGCGTTACGACGACCGAGGGTACGGGTACGGCTACGGGATGGGCGCGAGCGTGGGTCCGGGCGGCGGGATGATGACGGTGAACCCGAGCGGGATGTACGGCGCGTACGGCGCGCTCGTCGCGTCGCAGGGGATGGCTGGGATGAACGCGATGATGCCGCCGATGTTTGGCGCCATGACGGCGCCGGCGTTTTATCAAACCTATGGCGGCGGCGGGGGGGGGAGGTTCGGACGCGGCGGTTCAGGCGGGCGCGGCGGCGGCGGGCGCGGCGGAGGAAGGTACCGCCCGTACTGATGATATGATCGATCGATCGATTTTTCGTCGCGTTCGTCACACTGGTCCCCATACGACCCCGTTCGCGATGTGAACGCCGTTCCTTAAGGACTTTCCCCGTCGTCACTCTTCACCCGCGCTTCCCTTTCAACGTAAGTTTGACCGGTAAGACGTTCGACTGACCGATCAGAGAGAGAAGAGCGCGCTACTAAAACGTAATTCGCGCGCGCCTCGCGTCGTCTGTCCCTCCGTCCCTCCCTCTCTCCGTCTCCCCGCCGTCACTCCGGGTGCTCCAACCGCACGCCCGACTCGCCTCTCCTCCGCGTGCTCTCCGCACGCATCCGCCCCGTCGTCCCCGGAGCGACGTTCTGCGCGTCCATCAAGTACGTCTCCCTCGACGTCCCCATGTGCGAGTCCTGACGCGTCGTCAGCAGACCTGCGTGGGTGAAGCGATCGGTCAGTCGAACGTCTTACCGGTCAAACGTTGAAAGGGAAGCGCGGGTGAAGAGTGACGACGGGAAAAGTCCTTAAGGAACGGCGTTCACATCGCGAACGGGGTCGTATGGGGACCAGTGTAAAGAACGCACCCGACGCGTGAAGTCCCCCGGGCTGCACCTCCGCTTTGACCGAACCGAGCGTCGAGAACCGATCGCGAATCGCCGCCTCCTCCTCGCGTCTACCCTCCACGAGATCCTTCTTGCGCGCGGACTCTTCCGCGGCGCGCGCGTCGTTCTCGGTCGCGAGCTGTTCGAGTCGCGCGTCGTACCGCTCGACGTACGCGTCGCGCTCCTTCCGCTCCGCGGCGTTTTGTTTCTTCTTCGTCGTCGTCACGACGCGCCGCGTCTTCTCGACGAACGCCTGTAAGGTTATCATCGTGATTGGTCGAGGGAAGACACGTGTCAGTAACGCGGGGATGTGGTTGGTGGATATCGTCACCACGTGTCAAAAAAAACGAAACGAACGTGAGGAGGTTCACGGCGAGCGCGCGAAAGAACAGTGCGCCTCAAGAAACGAACGCAACGGGGTCGCGCGGGAAGCGGTCAGAGTCAGAGTCAGTCTGAAGTCTCACCTCGTCCTCGCGCGCCTTGTCCCGCCGCGCCTGCTCCGTCCGCAGATACCCCATCTTCACGTCGTGCTTCCTGCGCGCCTCCAAAACCTCCTTGCTCGCGCCGTCGATCTGAAACGCCTTGAACGCGGCGGCTTTCCCCGCGGCGGCGGCTTCGATCGCGTCCGCCTCCGCGCGCGCCTTCCTCCGCGCGAGCTTCTCTCGCAACGCCGCCGCGTCCGCCTCGTTCTTCTCCCTCAACGCCGCCTCGCGCCGCGCCTTCTCCTCCGCCGTCGTCGCTCGTCGCAGCGTCGCGCTCGTCTCGGCGATCTCGCGCACCTTGCGGATGTGTCCGAGGCGTTCGCTGAGCATCTCCTTCTTTTCGTTTCGCGCGCGGACGATGGCTCGACGCGCCTCCTCCTCCTCCTCCTTCTTCCGCTTCTTCGCGGCAACAAGCCGCTCTCTGAGCTCCGCGATGGACATGTCCTCCCACAGCGGGACGTTTCCGGGGTGGACGCCGCTCCGCTCCGCCTCCGCGTCCTTGACGTTTTTCTTCGGGCACCGCTCCAGGGCTCTGATCTGTCGCGCGAGGTCCGCCTTTCTCGCGAGCTCCGCGCGCTTTCGGTGCGACACCGCCTTGGCCGCCTCGGCGCGTTCCAACGCGCGCTTCTCCCCCATGACTCGCTTCTCCTCCCTGAGGGCCGTTCCATACAAAAATAGTTCATCGGTCAGTTGAAAGGGACCCACGCGATCAAGTGTTGAAACCGGGCGATGGGTGAAACACGTTTGTATAGAACGCACCTGAGCTTCGCGATCGCCTCGTCGCGCCGCTCCCGCTCCTCCAACACCTGCGCGCGCCTCGCCTCGTTCTCCTCGCGCACGCGAAGCGCCTCCGACGCGCGCTTCTCCTCCAACGCCAGCGCCTCGAGCCGCAGCGACTCCACCTTTCGCGCGTTCGCCTCCGCCGCGTCGCGCTTCGCCTTCAACGCCTTATCGAACGCCTCCTCGGACGCCTTGAGCGAGGGTCGCGCCGTACGAAATAATATGGCATCGGTCAGTAAGTTGAAAGGGACCCACGCGATCAAATGAATGTTGATACCGGGCGGTGCGGTGGGTGAAAAAACAGATCGAACGTGAGCGGCTCAAGATTTCGCACCTTGATCCTCGCCTCGACGAGCGCTCGCCTCTCCTCCGCGTCCCTCGCGTCCTCCTTCGCTTTCCACCGGTCGTACTCGCTCGTATCCCTCAGACCCATCTCGAACGACTCCATATTTCGCGCCTCCTCCGTCTGCTTCTTCTTATACAACGCGTCCTCGCGCAAGATGCTCGCCGCCGTCTGCTTCAACGGCACCTCCGGGCCGTCGTCGAGCTTGGAGTAAAACGCGGGCAGCGGTCGCGCCGTCGCGAACTCCGCGTTGGCGGCGAGTCGAGCCTCCCGCGTCGCGATCACCTCCGCGCGCACCTTGTCTATGTTCATCGGACGCTCGTGGCATCGGAGTTTGAACGCCTCGGCGCGCGCGAGTTTCTCCGCCGCGAGTCGCTTGTTTTCTTCGCGCGCCTTGGCGAGCGCCTTCTGCTCCGCGGTGGGCCCGCGGTTGGGTTTGTTCGACGCCGGCACCGGTTTGGGTTTCGGCGCGGGCGGGATCGTCTCCTTCACCGGCAGCGGCTTCGGCTTCCCCTCGGTGAACTTGAACGGCTCCACCTTCGTCGTCCGCTTCGAGAATGACTTTCGACCGGTCAGCCGCGCGTTCGACATCAGCGCCGTCTCCGACCCGGCGTCGACGTAATCGTTCTCGGAGAACCGTCCGTGGTCGTCTACTTTTTTCATGAAAAAGACGCGCTCCTCCATGTGCTCCACGAGCGCGTCCGCGTCCCCGGCGAAGTGCAGCACGCTCTCTATCATGTTCGCGACGTACGGGACGTCGTAGAGCTTCAGCCACTCGTCCTTCACGCGTTCGTTTAAGGTTTTGGCGTTGAAGACGTATTTGACGAACGTCACCATCTTTTGCGGGTCTTTCGTGCCATACAAAGCGAAGTCGGGGTGGAGTTAAAAGGCGTCAGATGGAGTTGAAAGGCAACGCGGGCGGGAATTGAACGCGAGGGGTGATGGGCGGAGAGAGACGACGGCAAAAGTCCTTAAGGATCGGCGTTCACCACGCCGACGGGGTCGTATGGGGACCAGTGTATAGAACGCACCTTTCGCGTCGATCAGCCTTCGGTACTGCCCGAACCCGAGCTCTTCCAGTCGCTGCAGCGCCAAGTACGCGTACACGCAGTACATGTCTCTGTCGCTGCGCAGCGTGCACGACGCGTTGTCGTGGTAGAACGCGGTGACGAGCACGTCGATCATGCGCTTGTACCGCACGCAGCCGTAAAAGATTTGGCGCAGGAAGGTTTCGTCGTTCGCCTCGCGGACGTTCCACCGAAGAATCTGCTCGTCCGCGTGCGCGTCGACCGTCATCCGCGCCGGGTTGAACGACGAGACGAGCTCCTCCGCTTTCGACACGAGCTCGCCCGGGTCCATCGGCCGCATCGCGCGCGCGGGGATGACGTGGTCGATAGGTATGTCCTCCGGATCGAACGGCTTCCCTCGCGTCCACTTTTTTTGCGCGGGCCAGATGCCGCCCTCGCCCCCGTGCTCGCCCGCGCGCCGTCGCACCATCTTCTCCAGGTCCGCGGGCCCGTCGTTGTCGTCGTACGCCGCGTATCGCTCCGGGGAGTTGACCGTCGCCGCGACCTGCGTCGCGGTGGGGCGCGGGTTTCCGTTCGCGTCCGCGTCCGCGCGCGCGACGCGCGTCTCGCGCGTTTGCGGAGGCCATATCCCGCCCTCGCCGCCGCCGACGCCGGCGCGTCGTCGGACCATCCACGTCAGGTCCGCGGGGCCGACGTACGGGTCGCCCTCGTACGGCGCCTCGTCTCCGCGCGGCGCCATCGCGACGGAGGACGGGGCTCGACGGGGGGCGCGCGCGCCTCTGCCTCACGACGGGGTTGGGGACATCATCGCGTCGTTTGACCCCTAAACGGGTACACGGCGAATCGTACTCGCGCGTCTGGCTAACTGGTTTACATACGAAATCGCATTTTTTACGTACTACGCGTACACAACAGCTCCTCGGCGTCTCCGTCGCGACGTCAACTTCCGAGAGCTCCCTCCGCTCGTCCGCCCTTATTACTCCGACACGCGTCGATCGCATCGCATCCTCCACGCGACCCGCGATGCCGAGCCCTTCTCTCGTCGTCGCGCTCGCCGCGTCCAGCGCGGTCGCGGGGTACGCCACCGCCGCGCTCGCGCGGCGCGGCGACGACCGACGCGGCGCGCGTCCGTCGCGCGCGCCGTCGTCGTCCGGATTAAAACCTCATCGTCGTCGTCATCATCATCATCTCGCGCGCGCGACGACGCCGGAGCTGGACGCCCTGCGCGCGGCGACGCCTCCCGCGTGGCACGAGGACGGCTCCCCGGAGGAGCGCGTCGCGCAGCTCGGCCTGGAGCTCGACGGGCGCGTCGCGACAAACCCCGCGGGGGTGTTCTACCCCGTCGTCCTCGTCGGCGACCTCGCGTACGTCAGGCGCGTTCTAGCTAGTATCCCACACTGGTCCCCGTACGACCGCGTCGGCGTGGTGAACGCCGATCCTTAAGGACTTTTCCCGGCGCATCTCTCCGCCCAGGATCCCTCGCTTTCAATCCCCGCCCTCGATGCCTTTCAACGACTCCAACTGACGCCTTTCAACTCCACCCCGACGTTCGCTTGTATGGAACGACCCCGCAGCGGCCAGGTCCCTCGAAACGCGGACGGAAGCCTCGTCGTGGGCAAGTGCGGCTCCGACGACTTCACGGACGACGAAGCCGTGGAGGCGGCGCGCGTCGTCGGGCTCACGATGCTCGCGACGATGCGGCAGCAGTTCGGCAGCCTTGACGTCATCGCCAGGGTGGTCAAGGTGAACGGGTTCGTCAACTGCACCTCAGGCGCGTTCTATAAGATAGTATCGGACTGGTCCCCATACGACCGCGTCGGCGAGGTGGACGCCGTTCCTTAAGGACTTCACTTCCCGGCGTCTCTCGCTTTCAATCCCCGCACGCGATGCCTTTCAACTCCACCCCTGACGCGCCTTTCAACTCCACCCCGACCCTCCCTCGACCCTCGTCAGAGTACACGAAACAACCCGCGGTGGTGAACGGCCTCGCCAACTTGTTCATCGACGTGTTCGGGCCCGCGGGAAAGAGCTCGAGGAGCGCCGTGGGGTGCGCGGGGTTGCCATTGGGGATCCCGGTCGAGGCGGAGGCGATCGTGGAGCTGAAGAAGTGACCGACTGACGAGAGCGAAGGTAGACTACGAGTCCGGTGGTCTATTTTAGGTATTTCGCGGCGACGTTTATTACGCCGCGTCACCTTGTACTCTCGCTCTTTAAACCGCCGTCGCCCTCCGTCCACCGCACCTCCGTCGCTCCCGCGTTCTTCACCCGCAGCCGCGCGACGGAGTGCTTCATCACGTGGTCGTTGAAATCCATCTTGTCCGTCCATCGCAAATTGATGAGCCCGTCTCGTAACAGCGGTTGGTCCACTAATTTTTCAAACGCCGCGATCGCCTCCTCCTCTCGCTTCTGCGCCGCCTTCAGTCGTTTCGAATACACACCCGCGTATATTCCGTTCTCCAACCGTTCGTGCTCTAAGCGCTTCAGCTCGTCCTCGCCGCTCGCCACGGATCTCTCCCTCTTCAGTCGCTCGTCGCGTTCCGTGATCGCTACGAGCTCGCGGAGCAAAGCCTCCCGCGCCGCTCTCGTCTCCTCGCGCTTTCCGTCCGCCAACAGAAGACCGCGTTCGCGTTCCCTCGTCGCAATGCCGCGGAGCTTGCCGACGCACTCGATGAAGAACGCCCTCCACCCGCGCCACGCGTATGTATCCGAGAAGAAGGCACAGGTACCGGCGCGGATGCGGTCCTTCCCCGATCGTTTCTTCTCCGTCACGAGCTTCGCCCACCGCTTCGTCGCGTCCACGCTCCTCCAGAACCCGTGCCGCGCGCACAGCCGCTCCCACACGTCCTCGCCGTCCGTGAGACTCGATCGCATGCGTCGATCGCACTGGCGCAGCGCGCACACGGAGACGAAGTCGAGATGGGCGATCACGCGCTCCCAGATCTCGTCGGGGAGACGCGGGAGGTGCGTCGTCGTCGTCGTCGTCGTCGTCGGCGGCGGCGGCGACATCGCGCGCGCTCGCTTCTTCGCCATCCCCGCCGCCGCCGCGTCGCGCGTCTTCCCTCCCTCACCGCGACCTCTCCTCGGTCGCGGCGTCGAACAGCCGATCGAGCGTCGCGCTCTCGGCGTCGACGCGGTCGAGGATCTCCCCTCGAAGCTTCGCGGTGAACCGAATCGCGTCGTCGCTCACGGTGAGGCGCTCGCTCGCGTCTCCGTCGGTCGTCGCGCTCGCGGTCGCGCTCGCCGTCGTCTCCGCGCGCGCGGGCTCGACGAGAGAGGGCTCGACGAGAGAGGGCGCGCTCGGCTGCGTCGAAGTCGAAGTCGCGCGCTGCGACATGGAAGGAAGACCGCGCGGAAGGGAGTGCGCGCGGTGGGGGAGGGCATCGACAGAAAAATCTGGACTCTCTCGCGCTTGCGCGCGCGTCGTTTACGTTTTATCCTCTCGGAGGGCTCGATCGCGCGTCGTCGTCGCACACCCGAGCGCCCCGCGACGGTCGTCCCCTCGAGATGACGACGACTCTCGCCGCGATGTCGCCTCCGCGCGCCGCCGCCGCCGCCGCCGCCGCCTCGGCCGCGCGCGCGTCGCCGTCGCCGCGCGCCGTCCGCGTCGTCGGATCTCGATGCCCCGCGAGGACGACGCCAGCTGGCGCGCGCGTCGCCGGCAGCACTCGGACGACGTCGACGACGACGACGACGCGCCGCGGTCGACGCGCGGCGTCCGCGCGCGCGTCGTCGTCCTCGCGCGACGACGCCGTGGACGCGGACGCGACGACGACCGACGACGCGGACGCGTCGGCGAGAGCGACGACGACGACGACGACGCGCGCGGCCGGCGGCGACGCGTCGTCGTCGCCGTCGTCGCCGCTCGCGCGGTCGCGATTGCTTCGTCGCGCCGCGGCCGTCGCGGTCGCGGTCCCGCTCGCGTCCTCCTCCTCCTCCTCCTCCCTCCTCCTCCCTCCGTCCGCGTCCGCGTCGACGTCCGCGCGCGTCACCCTCGCCGTCGAGGCGTCCAAGCGCGGCGTGAGCGGGAGCGGGAGCACTCCTGGGAGTCGAACGGCGATTCAATCCGCGCGGCTGCCGCCGGCTCCGTTCCCCACCGCGGGCGAAGTCTATCTCCCCGCGGGCGACGGCGCGCTGCAGCTCTCGCCGATGGGCCTCGGGACGTGGTCGTGGGGGAACCAGTTCGTGTGGGGGTACGAAGACTCCATGGACTCGGAGTTACAGAGGGTGTTTAACATGGCGGTGGACGCGGGCGTCAACGTGTTCGACACCGCGGATTCGTACGGCACGGTGCGCGAGACGGACGAGACCGCTCCCCGTACGACCCCGTTCGCGTGGTGAACGCCGATCCTTAAGGACTTTTCCCGTCGTCACTCTTCACCCGCGCTTCCTTCCCTTTCAACGTACTGTACGTTTGACCGGTAAGACGTTCGACTGACCGACGCGTTCACCCCGCAGGGCAACGGCTTGGACGGACGGAGCGAAGTCCTCCTCGGGAAGTTCCTTCGAGAGTGCCCGTCCGAGCGCGTCGCGGACGTGCAGATCGCGACCAAGTTCGCGGCGTACCCGTGGAGGGTCACGCCGAACAGCGTCGTCGTCGCCGCGCGCGAGTCCGCGGCCCGTCTCGACCGTCCTTCGATCGAGCTCGGGCAACTTCACTGGAGCACGGTGCGCGGGCAGACTCTTTAGACTGCTTCCCATACGACCCCGTTCGCGCGGTGAACGCCGTTCCTTAAGGACTTTCTTTCCCTAGTAGGTAGCTGGTAGTGCGCGGTAACTGAGGACTACGTACGTACGGTATCTCTTCACCCCACACACAGGGAAACTACCAGCCTCTGCAAGAGCGAGCGCTGTGGGGGGGCATCGCGGACGCGTACGACGCCGGGGTCATCGGCGCGGTTGGCCTTAGCAATTACGGACCGAAGCAGCTGCGGCGGATACACGCGTACATGACGAGCCGCGGCGTGCCGATCGCGACGTTGCAGGTACAGTATCACCTCTTGTCGCGGTTTCCGGAATTCGACGGCACGCGGGAGGCGTGCGACGAGCTGGGGATTCGGATGATCGCGTATTCGCCGCTCGCGCTGGGGCTACTGACGGGGAAGGCGCGTTCTCATCCATCACACTGGTCCCCATACGACCGCGTTCGCGTGGTGAACGCCGATCCTTGAGGACTTTTCTTCCCTTCCCGGCGGCGTCTCTCTCCGCCCAGGGTCCCTCGCTCACAATACCCGCCCTCGGCGCCTTTCAACTCCACCACTGACGCCTTTCAACTCCACCCCGATGTTCGTTCGCTCGGCTCCTATGGAACGCGCCTCAGTACGGCGTCGAGAACCCGCCGCCAGGGCTGAGAGGGTTCGCGTACAAGGACGTGTTGCCCGCGCTTCCGGGGCTTCTGAGCGTGATGCGCGCCGTCGGGGAAGAGCGCGGCGGGAAGAGTCCCGCGCAGGTGGCCATCAACTGGTGCTTGTCGAAGGACACGACGCCGATACCGGGGGCGAAGAACACGCGGCAGCTGGAGGATAATCTCGGGGCGTTGGGGTGGAGGTTGAGCGAGGGGGAGGTGAGGGCGTTGGACGACGCCGCCGTCGCGGCGGGGAAGAGCACGTCGCAGAACATCTTCCAGACGAAGTAGTGTGTCCCCGCGATTGATTATTCAAGGCGTCATCAGAGCTCGTACCTTAAAAGTAAAGTTTTTGTACGCGTACGAAAATGGTCACAAACGGCACACACGCGAGCGTTACTCTCTTCTACCCACCGCTGTCCTTCCACCGCGTCTGTCTTCCGTCCTCGCTCGCCTCTCACGAAGGCACACGCGTACTTCCGTCGTGCTGTAGCCTACCGCATCCGAGGATCTCCTTGCACGCGTCGTTTTCCTCCGCCTTGGCGATGTCCGACGCGGCCGCCGCGAACTGCTCCCTGATCTTCTCCTTGTCCGACAGTACGGCGCGCAGCTCGTCGAAGCCTTTGTCCCACGGGCCCGGGCCGATGGGCTCGTCCTCGCCGACGACGTATCCGTCCTTGTGACCGTTCGTGTCGAACCCCACGGGGCCGCGTTGCAGGTCTTGGCAGTTATCCGGGTGACACACGGGCTTGTGGTTCTGGTTCGTCGAAAGGAAGGACGCGTCGGTCGCGGTCGGATATACAGTCAGTCGAACGTCTTACCGGTCAAACGTTGAAAGGGAAGCGCGGGTGAAGAGTGACGACGGGCAAAGTCCTTAAGGATCGGCGTTCACCACGCGAACGCGGTCGTATGGGGACCAGTGCGCGCACCCGCCACGCGGTGCCGATAACCTGGTTGATCACGTGCTCGGGGTCGTCCAGAGGGTTCAACTTCGATGGGTCGAACCCGTACCAGTGACCGTTCGCGTCCGTCTCCGGCTCGAGCCCCATCTTGGAGAGGTACGCGCGGTGCTCCGCGTGGAGAACCCCGACGCCGGTTTTGTAGCACCTGCCGTGTTTCGTCACGTCCTCGCACCCGCCGGTGATGCGACAGTAGTGCACGAGGTCCGCCTGGGTGGAGTTGAAAGGCGTCAGTTGAAGTTGAAAGGCGTCGAGGGCGGGGATTGAAAGCGAGGTGTGGGCGGAGAGAAACGCCGGCAAACGGCCTTAAGGATCGGCGTTCACCACGCGAACGCCATCGTATGGGGACCAGTGTATAGAACGTACCCACTCTCTTCGCGCGGCGACGACGTAGGCCTTCCGCGGCGGGCGCTTCGGCCCGAGCGTGCCGTCCTCTTGCCTGTACTGACGCGGCGTTTTGAGATAGGAGGAATCGCCGCCGAGGCGGGAGTACGGCGGCGGGTCTGGGACGCGGTCCTTCATGCGCTCGAGCGGACCTGTGGAGTGGGGGGGGTTCCGTGAGCGAAGAGGACGCGGAGCGAGCGCGAGCGCAAGCGACGGGACCGCCAAAAAAAATCCCGTCGGGAGGAGGCCGCCGGACAGCGCGGCGCGGGGACGGGGACGGGGACGGGGACGGGGACGGGGACGGGGACGGGGACCAGACACGCCTTTGTCGTCCTCCATCGCGTCCATCTCCCGCACCGCCTGCATCACCGTCCGCGTGGACGTCCGTCGCATGAGCGTCCGCCCGCGCTCCCTCTTCGCCGCGTCCGCGGGCGGCGAGCGCGGGGACTCCCGTATCGGCTCCACCGGGGGCAGGTCCGCGGGCGCGACGAACGACACGCGTCGACCGTGCGACGCGCGCCTCGTCGAGCCAGCCCCCCCCGGCGGGTTCGGGGACGGGGACGGGGACGGGGATGGGGACGGGGATGTCCCCGTCGCCGTCCCCGCCGTCCCCGTCCCCGAGCCGGGCGGCGGCGGCGCGTTCGCGCGCGACGACGCGGGGAACAGCTCCTCCGCGGACGACGACGACGACGACGACGCGCGCGGCCGCGGCTTGGGCCGCAGCCCGAGGTGTTTGGAGAGCGAAGGCATGGTTCGCGACGACGACGACGACGACGACGACGAGGGGACGCGCGGGCGAGGAGGAGTGCGCTCGCGCGCGCGGGCGAGAGAGGAGAGAGCGAGGCGACGTCGTTCGCGAGAGCGTCGCCGGCTGCCTCGGGAGTTCCGAACGATCGAGTCCTAGCATTGATAGCCCTAGAAGTCGAGCGGTCGCGACCGTTCGCTCCCGCGCTGAAGTTCTCGTTCGTCAAAAGTGCTCATCACTCTTCACACGAAAAAAAACAAGAGAACAAGCAAGAGCCCTCCCTCGCTTCGAGCCCTCCCTCGCTTCGCTACGTCGCTATCGCTACCCCCGCCGCCGCCCCCGACTCGCGCTCCCCGCGAGCGTCCCCCAAAGTTGAGTCGGCACCCGCCCGACCCCACCCACCCCGATCAAAGTCGGCACCCGCACCCGCCCGCCTCACGCTTTCCCGCCGCGTCCCCGCCACGTCCCCAGACTCACTCTTTCCCGCCGCGTCCCCGCCACGTCCCCAGACTCCCTCTCGGCCGCCTCGGCGACCGCCTCCAGTCCGGCGGCGGCGGGTCCAACCGCCTCATCGCCGCGTGACACACGACCACGAGAACGCTCAACACGATGGCGTTACTAATCGCCCCCGCGGCCCTGGTGTACGTCATCACCGCCCACGACAGGATCGTCGCCACGCCCGCCTTGAACTGATGCATCGCCGCGGCGCGCGACGACACGTGGTCGACGCCGGCGGAGGCGCCGACCCAGTCCCACACTGTAGTATGATAGGGTCGTTCGATATGTGAAAGGCGTCAGGGGCGGAGTTGAAAGGCGTCGAGGTGTGTCGGGGTTGAACGACGCCGATGGGGTCGTATGGGGACCGGCGTCGTCGATACGACGAATGTATTACCTTTCGTCGCGAAGAGCGCGCCGAAGAGCGCCTTCGGGCGTTGGTATAACACGACGCAGAACGTCGCGAACACCGCGAGGACGTAGTTGCCCACGTGCGCGTACACGTTCCCGTCGACGCGGCGTCTCAGCTCGCGCAGCGACCGCGGAAAGGCGTACGATCGCGCGAGGTGATCGGTGCACAAAAACTCGCGCCACTCCACCGGCGGCTTTTTCAGATCCCCCACGGTGAGGTACGGGAGCTTGTACGACTCGGGCGGCGGGGTAACGCCCCCGCCGCGACCGTTATTATTCTTCCCTCCTCGAGAGGACGCCTCGCGCTCGCTCGCGCGTCGCGCGCGCTCCGCCTCCGCGCGCTCCTCCTTGACGTACTCCGCGACGTCCTCTGCGCGATACGACAGCGACAGCGGGTTGGACTGAAACGCGGCCGCCATGGCTGCCCCCGCGCGCGCTCGATCGATCGACCCGGGCTTCGCTTCGCGCCTCGCCGGCCGCGGAGGGCGCTCGTCGCGGTCGCGGCGGGGTGGCGATCGCCGATCCGATCCGCCGCGTGATCCGCGTCCGTCCGCGGCGCGTCGATCGGAACGCGCGACGCGCTCTGACGATCGACAGAAGATCTCTCGACGAAGCGCGGGACGAACCGAGCGTCGGCATCGGCAGTGCGGCCGTGACGACAGACTGGAAGAACCGCGCGCGGGCGCGGCGCGAGTCGAACGCTTCTCGCGGTCGAAACGAACTACTACCGTGCGTTAAATTCAAACTGCTGCTACTACTTTAAACGAAGACGTGCGCTCCGCGACGTCCGCGGCGACCGGTCACCGCGGGCTCGGCGGCGCGCTCGACGACGACGACGACGCGCCGCCGCCGCCGTCGTCGTCGGGGAAAGAAACCGATGAAAACGACCTCGGCACTCTCCAAACCTCCTCGCGCAACGCCACGCCCGTCTTCTCCAACACCGCGGCTTTGACCTTCCGAATCAGCGCCTCCATCTCGTCCGCGCCGCCGCCGCCGCTGCCGCCGCCGCGCGCGTCAGCATCCACGTCAGCATCCACGTCAGCGTCAGCGTCCTCCTTGTACAGGAGAAAGTTGGCGTGCGCTTCGCTCACAACCGCGCCGCCGCAACGCGTCCCTTTCAACCCCGCGCGGTCGATCAACGCGCCCGCGCTCAGCCCGTCCGGGTTCACCGCCGTGATCGGCGGGTTGCGAAACACGCACCCGACGGAGCGCTCCGAGAGCGGCTGCGCCCTCGCGCGGCGTCGCAGAAACGCCTTGGCGCGGTCGTTGGCGCGTGGGTCTCTGCGCAGACGAAACGTCGCGCTCGCGACGATCCACCCGGCGAGCTCGGACTCCGACTCCTCCTCCTCCTCCGCGTCTGCTTCCGCGTCCAGGTCTTCTTCTCTTCCTCTGTTCGGGTTCCCGGGGTGCGCGCGCGACTGGAACGGCGACGTGCGGTACCCGAAGGCACCAGAAGAGGCGGTCGCGGCGCGTTCGCCGCCGCCGCCGCCGCCGCCGCCGCCGTCGTCGTCGTCGAACGTCGCGATTCTACGCCGGCCGCCATCCGGCGACACGCACTCCACCTCCACCAACGCCGTCGCCGTGTCGCCGCCGTCCGCGCCGGCGTTCATGAACACCGCGCCGCCGACGGTGCCGGGGATGCCGACGGCGAACTCCAGGCCGCTCCAGCCCTCCTTCGAGAGCGCGGCGCCGAGGTGGTTGAACGCGTAACCCGCGCCAACCTTCCACAGCGACGATTCGTTCGATTCCGATTCCGATTCGTTCGCGTCGTCGTCGCCGGACTTCTCGCCGCCGCTTCGATTTCGATCGAAGACGCGCTCGATGGTGTCGATCGCGTTGACGATCACGACGCCGTCGAACCCGGCGTCCGCGAACAGGACGTTGCTCCCGCGGCCGATGACGACGGCGGGGACGCGCTTCGACGCGGCGAACGCGAGCGCGTCGGCGAGCTCCTCTGATTTGATTGGTCGAGGGCGGACATGTGTCAGCGACGCGCGAACGCGATTGGGTGATCGAGCGCACACGTGGCAAAACGCGCGTTGGTTGGTGGTTGGGCCGAGCCGAGCGCGCGTCGATCGACTTCGAGGAGAGAAGGCGTCGCGCGGCGCACCGATCGTCGACGCGGAGACGAGCCATCGCGCGTCGCCGCCGACGCCGAGCGTGCAGTAGCTCGCGAGCGAGACGTCGCGCCGCGCGCCGATAGGGGTACTACCCGGCGTCGGCGTCGCCGCGTCCGGTCCCGACGCCGACGGGGACGTCAGGGCGCCCGCGTTGGCGTTCGCGGACGACGACGACGAGGAGGAGGAGGAGGAGGAGGAGGGAGAAGACGGCGACGGCGCGAACGGCGAGGAGGATTTTTTCGAACGCCCGCTCCTTCGCGGGGCCCCTCGAGTGCCACCGCCGCCCGGGGAGGGATCCGAGGGGTTCGCCGCGCGCGCGCGGACGTCGCCGCGGTCGCCGCGAGCGTTGTCGTCGTCGCGGCTCGTCGGCGACGCGCGCGCGACGACGCGACGACGCGACGGCGGCGGCGGCGGCGGCGCTCGCGGCGCGGCGACGGCGACGGCGACGGCGACGGATGCGGTGCCTCTCGTCGTCGTCGTCGTCGTCGTCGTCGTCGTCGCGCGTCGCGGCGCGACCGCGGCGCGTCCGCTCGTGCCCGGCGGCCCGGCCGCGCACCGCGCGGCGGCGGCGGCGGCGCGCGACGCCGACGCCGTCGCGAGCGGCGGCGTCATCGCGCGCGAGCGGCGAGTCGTGCCGCGCGCGAGCGATCTGCGGTTGGCGTCGGCAACGGCACTCTCACTGGTCACTGGCTCGCGCGCGCATCCAGTCACCACAATCATTGACGCGCCGCGCGCCTTTTTTTTGCAGTTCAAAAAACTTTTGCAGCTGCCGAGCGAGATTCGATTCGGTGCCAAACAAACCACGACGCGCGCGCTCTGGTCGCGGCGACGCCCCTCCCCCCCCTCGCGATGGGAGAGGAGAACCCGTGGACGATCGCGGGCGGCGTGCGCATCGCGGGCGCGCGGAGGAAGACCGCGTCGGGAAGCGACGCGAGCGTGCGCGCGTCGCTTCGCGTCTCCTTGGATTCATCATCGTTCGCGTCGAGTGGTGCGTTCTATCTCACACTGGTCCCCATACGATCGCGTCGGCGTGGTGAACGCCGATCCTTAAGGACTTTTGCCGGCGCATCTCTTCGCCCACACCTCGCTTTCAATACCCGCCCTCGACGCCTTTCAACTCCGTCTGACGCCTTTGAACTCCAGGGTCGCCGATCGACGCGTCCGATGATGCCATCAACATCATCGCCGCCGTCTCCGCGTCGTCGCCGCTTCGGACGCTCGTCCCGGGGAACGTCTCGCTGCACCGCGCCGCGGAGGCGGAGCTCGCGGCGAGGAAAGCGCGCGACATCGCGGGCGCGGGCGCGAGCGGTCGGGGACGGGGACGGCAGCGCGCGGCGTTCGAGGGACGCGCGAAGAAGGCGCCGAGCGCGGAGGAGGCGATCGTGACCAACGAATCGCCTCCGCGTCGAACGCGCGACGCCGACGCCGCGGATGCGCCCCCGCCGTCGCCGCCGCCGCCGCCGTCGCCCGGGTTGTTCCGCGTCGCGTCGCTGCCGCCGCCGCCGTCGCCGACCAGCGAGGCGCGCGCGCGCGTCGCGCGGCGGAGGCACCGCAAGCGACTCGCGCAGATCGTCGTCGGGCAGGCGCGTCCCAACTCGCACTGGTCCCCGTACGACCCCGTTCGCGATGTGAACGCCGGTCCTTAAAGACTTTCTCTCCGGCGTCTCTCTCCGCCCATTTCTCGTCCAATGAAACGACGAACATCCACGTCATCAAACTATTAACCAATCACATCACTTCCTTTTGCCACGTCGCCCGCCGATCGAACGCCCCTCATCAGTGGAAGTGGTTCGCGCGAGACGCGCTCGAGGTACTGCCGGGGAAGATGCACGCGGAGTGGCGCGCGCTGCGCGTCGCGACGAGGGCGTGGAGCGCGCTCGCGACGGTGAACCGCGTGCCGAACCGCGAGGCGATGATGAAATTGGAAACCGCCGCGGACGAGGCGTTTCGGTATAACGCGTCGTTGCGGTTTTTGCTGCGGTGGGAGGACGCCGCCAAAACGATGAAACGCGCGCGGCGGGACGCCGCGGCGGCGGACGCCGCGTACGTGAAAACGCTCATGAGACGGGCGTTAGTGTCCGGGTGGCAAAAGGCCACGTGGGACGCGCGGATTCGGCGCATCAAGACGATGCGCGCGGAGGCGCACCACGTGAACCGCGTCCTCCGCGCGACGTCGCACGCGTGGCGAATGGCGGCGATGGCGACGACGAAGCGTCGCCGCGTCGCCGCCGCGCTCCACGCGGCGCGTATTAAAACGCGCAGCGGCGAGGCGTTACGCGCGTGGAAAGTCACCAGCGTCTCTCGCCGAGCGCACCGAACGTTGCTCCTCGCGCGCGCGGTGGACGCGAGGGAGAGAGCGACGCGACGCGCGTGCGCGGCGGCGTGGCGCGCGCGCGCGTCGAGGGAAGCGAAAAAACGCGCCGCGTTGGAGGTGCGTTACGACGGCGCGCGCGCGCATCGCCTGATGCGCCTCCACGCCGCGTGCTTCCGCGCGTGGAAACTCTACGCCGACTACGCGCTCGACGTGAAGTGTAAAGGACGGATGCTGACGGAGATGCGATGCACGAAGATTACGCGCGCGGCGTTCAACGGGTGGCGCGTTTACGCGGAAAGCGAAGTCGACGCGCGCGCGTCCGCGGCGGAGATGGCGAACGTCGCGGCCGCGTCCGAGCACTGGAAGCGCGTCGCGTCGTCCAACTGCGCGCGCGCGTGGCGCGTTCAAACCGTGGCGGCTAAGCGCGCGAGGGAGGAAGCGGAGGCGCGGCGCGCGAGCGTCCTGCGCTGCGAGACGCGTCGCGCGTTCAAACTGTGGCGGTGAGACTGCCTCCCATACGACCCCGTTCGCGTGGTGAACGCCGATCCTTAAGGACTTTCGCCGTCGTCACTCTTCACCCGCGCTTCCCTTTCAACGTACGTTTGACCGGTAAGACGTTCGACTGACCGATCGCTTCACCCACGCAGACTCAACGCCGCGGAGGCGGCGACGCGCCGCGCCGCGTCGGACGCCGCGGTCGCGCATCACGCCGCGCGTCTCGTGTCCACGTGGCTGTCCACGTGGCGCGATAACGTCCGCGAGGTCCGCGAGGTCCGCGAGCGCGAAGAGACCGCGGAGGCGCACCACGCCGTGGCGGTCGCGGCGCGCGCGTTTCGCGGGTTTGAAGACGCGGCGCGGAGAGGTCGACGGAGACGGATCGCCGCGCGGTGGTGGCAGGATACCCACGCGCGCCGCGCGCTGCGTCGCTGGCGCGCGCGGACGGTCGCGAAACTCCGAGCCGAGGTCGAGGCGCGCATCGCGACGCGGCACGCGTACGGGAAGCGATCGCGCGGGGCGTGGGGGACGTGGAAGGCGTTTCTTTGGGATCGGCGTGAAAAACGGTTGCGCGCGGACATCGCGCTCGACCACTTCAGCCTGTGCCGACGCACCGTCGCGTTCGCGGCGTGGCGCGGCGCGTACATGGACGACGTGCGGATGTTCCGCGAGCGGGCGACCGTGTACCGCAAAACGGTCGAATCGAGAGCGTTACGCGTCGCGCTGTACGAGTGGAGCGACGCGGCGTACGCGCGCGCGGTGTTTCGAGAGATGGAAATCCGCGCCGACGCGCACCGCGGCGCCGTGCTCCTCGCGCGCGCTTTGGACGCGTGGCGTCTTTTCATTCGCGGAAAGCGCGAAAACAGGACACGCGTCGCGCGCAGAGTCGCCGTCGTCGCGTCCGCGCTGGCGACGCTGAAGCGCGACCGCGCGTGGTGCGCGTGGGCGGAGTGGACGCGGTCGGCGGCGGTGAAGACGATTCGAAAAGCGCGCGCCGCCGAGCACTTTCGTATGGCGACGACCCTCAGAGCGCTCGCCGCGTGGTGGGACCGCGTCCTTCGCAGACGCGACAAGGACGACGCGATGGTCGTCGCGAACGACGCGCGCGATCGGCGGTACGCGTACGGCGCGCTCGAGGGCTGGGTGAGATACGTCGTTACGCGACGACGCAAGACGCGTAATATGGGCGCGGCGACGCGGCATCGTTCGAAAGTTTTGGCAACGAACGCCGTCGCGGGATGGCGCGAGTGGAAGCGCGCGCGAGAGGCGAAGCGCCTTCGGTTCTCCGACGCGCTGTCGATGCACTCCGCGGACCTCCTCCGCGAGGGCGCCGCCGCGTGGTTGACCGAGGGGTTGCGTCGGCAGGAGGCGCGGCGGGAGGCGGCGACGGCGGCGGCGGCGGAGAGGGAGGCGGCGGCGTTGAGGCGCGTTCGTTTTCCTCGCACGGACTGGTCCCCATACGATCGCGTCGGCGTTATTGTGAATGCCGTATCTTGAGGACTTTCTGTCCCGGCGTTTCATCTCTTTGCCCACCCCACGGTTTCAATCCCGACACACCGCGACGCCTTTGAACTCCGCTTCTGACGCCTTTGAACTTCACCCCGACGTTCGTCGCTTTGAACGGAACGACCCGACCCTCAGGCGGGCGGAAAAGTACGCGCGGCGGTGGCGGCACGTCGTCCTCGGCGCGCGGCAGAGACGGAGGTGGGTCCCGGACGGCGGCGGCGGCGTTGGTTGTGGCGCTGCTACTACACGTACTACTACCGCCGGCGATCGCGCGTACGCGCCGCGGTTGGTGCCGGCGGTGGTTCTGAAACCGCCTCCGCCTCCGCCCGCGTCTGCCGACGCCGACGCGTCTCAGTCGTCGCCGTCGTCGTGGCCGTCGCTGTCGACGTCGTCGCCGTCGCCGTCGCGCGCCGCCGCGGTCGTCGTCGTGCGCGCGCTGCACGGCGGCGCGGCAGCGGCGGCGCCCGCGCCCGCGGCGGCGGCGCCGACGGCGTGCGCGTTCGACGCCGCGTTCGCGCGGATGACGACGGCGACGGCGACGCCGGCGGCGGCGCCCGCGGCGTCTCCGGTCGCGCCGTCGCCGTCGCCGTCGCCGTCGAGCGGCTATCCGGCGGACCTGAACCCGTTCATGAACCCGGCGTTGCTCGCGCTCACGCCCGGATCGGTCTCGAGCGGCGGCGACGGCGGCGCGACGGTTGACGTTCCGTCTTCCCCGCACACGTCCGGGTCGTCGCCGTCCACGGTGCTCGCGACGAACGACGCGCCGCCGACGACGTCGAGCGACGGTCAAACGTCGTCGTCTTCACCGACGTCGCTCACCCCGGAGCGTCTCGACTCGTGCGAGCGCGTCATCGCAGAGTACGAGAAGCTGCGGATCGCGTCCGCGAGGGTGGCCACCGAGCTCGACGCGCTTCGCGGCGGGTGGGGGTCAGACGCGGAGAGGGCTCGAATCGCGACGCTGACGGCGACGGCGGCGGCGTTGAAACGGCGGCGGCGAGCGCTGCTGCCGAGGGTGCGCGCGGCGGTGGGGGCGCTGGGGGAGGCGCGGGACGACCTCGCGTCCGTCGCGAGCACCGGGGTGGACCGGAGGAGACTGGAGGCGCGCATTTAGGCCGTACGTAGTCTGCGCGCATTTATTAGGAATTATCATCTCGCGCCCCGGCCGCGGCCGCCTCCTCTCCCGCCTCCTCTTCCGCCTCCTCTTCCGCCGCCTCGCCCGCGTCGTCTCCTCTCCGCGCCGCCGCCGCCGGCGACGTCCGCGCCCCACGCCTTCACCTCGCGACGTTTCCTTCCGTCGCTCGTCGCGGGCGCGCGCGCGTCGCCTTCGCCTTTCGCCGCCGCCGCCGCCGCCGCCGCCGCCCGCGCCTTCCTCCCCGTCCCCTCCAGCCCGTGGCCTCGCTTCCCCCCCGCCCCAGGGATGCTCCTCTTAAACACCACGCTCGCCCTCGCCCCGCCGTTATTCTCCCCCTCCGCCTTCATCACGCAGTGCTCCCAGGTGTCGTTACACGCGCCGAACATCCAGACGCAGTCGCCGCCTCGGAGGCGGAACCAGTGATCGGACGCGACGTCGCTCTTAACGCTCGTCGTGTCTTTTCGGAACGCGAACCGGCGCGTCTCGCCGACGGAAACGATGACGCTGTCCCGCGCCCACAGCCGACCGAGGTCCGGGTCCTTGTGCCACTTACACGCGCACTCGCCGTCGGGGTAGAGGTTGATGAGCGCGCAGTCGAACCGCTCGCCGGTGACGTCGTAAATTTCGTCCCTCAGCCTCGTCATCAGCGGCGTAAACGGCGTCGGCGCCATGATCTTGCCGCTGTACGCCAATGTGAAAAGTTCATCGGTCAGTCGAAAGGGGACGCGATCAAATGTTGAAACCGGGCGATGGGTGAAAAACGCAAACGTTCGCATCAGATACATAGAACGCACCTGTACGCCAATCCGCCGACGCCGTCCTCCGCCATCCAACACGTCTCCCGCCGCTCGTCGACTCGGATCCCCTCGCGCGTCACGAGCGTCTCGGACTTGAACGGCACCTCCGCTTTCACCGCTTTCACCGTGAGCGACGACGCGACCGGTAAGGGTTCGGTCTCCGGGGTGAACACGCGGAACGGCGTCCCGGCGACGGCGCGTCGCGCCGCCGCGCCGGGACCCGAGTCCGCGTCCACGCCGAGGCGTCTGATGAGGGTCGAGGGCGGAGTTGAAAGGCGTCAGTGGTGGAGTTGAAAGGCGTCAGTGGTGGAGTTGAAGGCGGCCGTCATAGGGTCGGGTGGGCGGAGAGAGACGACCGCCGGGAGAGAAAGTCCTCAAGGAATGAAGTTCACAACGCGAACGCGGTCGTATGGGGATCAGTCTGGCGTGAAGAATCTAGAAAAGAACGCGCCCGAACGCCCAATCCATCGCGGTGGCGACGTGCGCGGGCAACGGCGTCGTCTCCGTCTCCGCGACGACGCGCGCGGCGAGGAGACGCACGGCGACGTCGCACTTCGGCTTGTGACGCAGCGCGTCCGTCAGCGGCGCGAGCGACGCGAGCGCGCGCAGCGCCTCCGCCGCGTTGTCTCTGTCGATCAACGCGTCCGCGAGGTCCGCGGCGGATAAGGGTCGTTCTATACAAGCGAAAGTCGGGGTGGAGTTGAAAGGCGTCAGATGGAGTTGAAAGGCGCCGAGGGCGGGGATTGAAACCGGGGGGTGGGCGCAGAGACACGCCGGGAAAAGTCCTTAAGGAACGGCGTTCACCACGCCAACGGGGTCGTATGGGAACCAGTGTATAGAACGCACCCGAGCCGGAGCCTCCGTCGTCGTCGTCGTCGTCGTCATCCCCGACTTCTCGGAAGAAGTCGTCGTCCCAGAACTGCGCCGCCGCCGCGTCGACGAGCCGCGCGAACCGCGCGTCGTTCACGCACCGCTCGCGCTCGCCGTGCGTCGCCAGCGCCTCGAGCGGCGCGAGCCACTTCGCGAGACGCGTCAGCGCGAGCGTCGCCGCTCTCTGTCGCTTCTTGCGATGGATGCGTTGCGAGTGCCAGTGAAGGCGCTCTTCGTTTGGGAGCGTGAGCGCGTTGGCGGCGTCGAGGATCGTGTCGACGGTGGTCGCGTCCTGGAGGAGCTGCGACGCGCTGCCGGCGCCTTTCGCGGGCGCGATGGGCGCGACGGTGGGGGCGATGGGGGCGTCGTCCGAGATCGATGACGCGGCCGCCGCGGAATCGACGACGAAGGTCGCTCGCGTCGTCGTCCTCGGTCGCGCGCCGCCTTCGCGCTCGCGTCGTCGCCGCCGCCGCGCCGCCGAGCGCGGCGGCGCGACGCGCGAGGCCGTCGCGGACGACGCGACGAGCGGAGAAGAAGCGGACATGACCGCCGGCGAGGCGAGGCGCGCGCTCCGATGGCGACGGCGATGAGAAGGAAGAAGAAGAAGGGCTCGCGCCTAACAACGACGACCGGGCGTCGCGTACGTGTACTCGTAC